CCCGGCCCCCCTGCGGGCGCGCCATGCTCGGGACTAGCTGCGGGCGCGGTGACCAGGCGGGGGCGCCGCGCCGACCCTTGCCTCCCCGTGCGCTGGCTCCCGCCGTATTTGTAGGTGCACGCGCCCCGCGCTCGCGCTCCGAGCAATAACAGAATCACGTGTGGGCCGTGGAACCTGGGAGGAAAACAAAGCCGCAGGCGGGCGGCGGGAGGCGCAGGAGGGGAGGGAGGAGGAGGAGGAGGGAGGAGGAGGAGGGAGGAGGAGGAGGGAGCGCGGGCCGAGGCGGTGGCTCCCGCGGCGTGCTGAAGCCAGGTGCGGGAGGCGAGCCCGTCACCACGGCGCGCGGCTCCGAGAGTGGGGTGCCAGCAGAGCCCCTGCAGCCCCAGCGTGGGACCTGTCACGCCGACTTAGGGGGCTGCAGGGCGATCACTGGGGGCGACGCGGAGATGTGGACAGCGAGCGCGCTTAAGTGCACTCCGCGCTGCCGTTGGGCCGGACGAGTAAGTCCTTAGGGTGTCACCCCGCGGACGCCGCACCTGAAAGCGGCCCGATCACCCAGGTGTGACTGCAACCCCCCCCCGCCCCCCAAACAGGCCTGCGCCGGGGCGCGTGAGAGCCCAGTGTGGGAACATCTTCGTGTGCCCGGGCTTGATTTACACGCTCCCGACCCAAGGTGCTGGTGCTTTTCACTTCTTAGCAAAGGCCAACCGAAATTACTTTGGCCCCGACACGTGTTTCATTTCTATGACGACTGAGGCACACTACTTCTTCCTTGTCGCCAACTTTTGTGGATTATGATGCCCCCCCCATAAACTGGGATTGATATGTCGGTTTCTCTCTGTCACTTACTTCACAAACATACATTTGGTTGGCATCCACCTTGTGTTCTAGAAAGATGGGCTCCTGCCCGAGGACGCGGTGACCCTTTCAAAACAGAGGCCCGGAATCGGGACGAGCCCAGCTCCACCCCCACCAGCGCCTTCTGGGCTGGGGTGCGGGGCTCTCCGGAGCTAAAGTGTGCGGTTTGGGTGACTTACCAGATGCAGCAAGGAACAACTGTCACGCTGGATTAAGCTCTGCGACACCTAAGAAACCTCCACTGCAGTTTTCTGAAGGAGTAGCAGTGTGTTTAAGATCAACGGATTAATTTAATTAAAGGTTTAAATTTAGCCCTGGAGCTAATGGGTAACTCTCCATCGAAATTCCACTCCGTTTCAAGTTCAGGAAAGTTAAGTAGTGGAGAGCAAATACACGCTGTCCGGAGACGCGCAGCCAACCGGAGGAAGAGATAGGGTGGGTTTCAAGTTACGTGTGCTCAGGACAAACTCTCGGCCTGGCCCTCTGCGCAAACAATTATTCCTATTTTATTTTTGTGCCTTCCCTCTGCAGCCTCACAGCAGCAGCTAAGTCAAAGCTTGGCACCCAAGTCGGGGAAATTTCATCAGGATTTTAATTACTTTGACTACCTTGAAACTTCCAATTCACTCTCTTACAAGTGATTTAATTTACATGGCCACTGGCCTGGCTGTGGGTCAGGGAGCGTTAAGTGGAAGAGTCCCAGTCCACTCCTCTAAAAGAAAGACTTTTATTACGCGTGGTATGTTAATTACAAAAATGATACATTTTAAGAAAAGCAGAGAGCAAAAGCATCGCTAACGATTTCCTATGGAAATGCCTTAATATTTTGATTTCTGTCTTGCCAGTTTGTGTTTGTTTTAGTACTGGGCCTGGAACGCCGGCCTTTGCGCTAAGCTACAGCCCCATCCCTCTTTTTTATTTCTTATTTTGAGACCTCACTAAGTGGCTAAGTTACCCAAGGCTGGGCTCGAACTTGCAATCCTCCTGCCTCAGCCTCCCAGATGTCTTGTGTTTTTTTTAAATCAATGCCATGTCATGTAAGGCTTTCCATCCAGAAAGATTTTTTTTTCCAGTTGGCTTCCTTATATTTGCTGGGTGTTAATTTTTTTTCATCAAAATCCATTTATTTGCCTACTTGGTATAACTCTCCCTATTTTAAGTGCCAAGTATAGTAGTTCATTCCAAACATTTATTGAAGCATCAAATTGGAATCAATGTCTATTAAACTCCATGCTTCTGCCAATTTATGGGGGATCATGAGAATTAAGATTTATTATTCACCTACTGTGTACCAGCCAGAGAGTATTGCTAATCCTTCTGACCACCCTATGGTGATGATGGTGAGGGCATTATCATTAATATTTCAAAGACAAGGTTCAGAAAATTTGAATACTTCTCCCAGGTCACCTAGCTCATTGTGGCTGCGCCAGCGTGTAGACGGCCTTGACTGAGACTCATGCGTGTTCTTGCGCCCTCTGCTGGTGAGGATGTTTTACAGGAAGGAGCAGTGTCCAGCTATCCTGCGTTTATCCCTGAGTCAATTGTAGTGGAAATAAATAAAGCTTTGGAGAGAGGATCTGGGTTTGAACAGCCAGTCCTTTAACCTCTCTGAGCCCATTTCTTCTGTGGGTTACTGAGAGGTACAGATATGGCTGCATGTGGAGTGTTTTATAAACCTTTAAGTATTTTTAAAATGACAGTTTTTATGCCATTCTAATCTATTTAGTTCCCAAATAATTCTAAATTCATTTATTTTCTGCTATTAATTGGTTGAGCAAGTGTTATTGAGCAACTTCTACATGTACAGTGCCATCTTGCGACAAAGAGATAATAAGGTGTGACCCTTAACCCTTGTATGCTTGCTAGTTAAAATAGAAAAGAAGCGCAGGACACGTTTAGAGAAGAGTACAGTGCTTGCTCTGATTACGTGTCAGATAAGCAGTATGCTATCAGAATGTGGGAAAAGAGCTCTTAATTTGAAGTGAGCCTGTGGGGCAGGTGTTAGGCAAGAGCCAGGATTTGAGCTGACCTGGGAGGTAAAGGAAGCCGGGAGAAGGAGGTGCGCTGAAGAGGAAGTTGCTAGTTTTGATCTTCAGTGTCCCCGGGGCCCATGTAACAGAGGCTTGCTCCTAGGGAGGCCCTGTTGGGAGGTGGTGGAGCCTCTTGGACAGTGATGGTGAACCTTTTAGAACTTTCAATGATAACAAACAGCCTGTTGCAGCACATGTGCCATAGTTTGCCACCACTGCTCCAGGAGGTGGTCCCTGGGTGGAGGAAGTTAGGTCAGTGGGGCTGCCCCTGAAGGAATCTTTGGGACCCCAGTCCTCTCCTTTCTTTGTGCTTTCCGGGTCATGAGGTAAGTGGTTTTGCTGTACCTCAGGCTCCTACTCACATGTGTCAGACTCCACACTGTGGGCTCGTTGCCACAAGCTCAAAAGCAACGGGACCAATTGATCATGGACCGACACCTCCAAAACCATGAGCCTAAATAAACCCTTTCTCTTTATAAGCTGATTATCCCAGGAATTTGTTACAAGGACAGAAAACTGATTAACGCATATTGCACCGACACCTTTATGCATTGCAGGCACAGAGGACTAACACCTGAAATGTAATTCCTCTTGGTCTGCAAAGGCACCCCACTCCCACCTTCTTTTTTAATTTTTATTTTTATTAGTACCTGTTTGCAGTACGTAATGATCCCATTCCTTGTGTGGAGTTGATACATGCACATAACACATCTCAATTCGGTTTTCAACCCTTTTCCCTCTCCTCTCTCCCCCCTCCCTCCATCCCTTGATCTGCTTCCCTTTTGCAAAAAAATCTATCTCCCCATTTCCTATTATCTGTCTTTTATCTTGCTCTTTAATTTATTTCGACTTAGGTTTCTCATATAAGAGAAGCTATGTGATATTTGAGCTCGTGCATGTGATTTCTGTCAATTAACATTATGGTCTCAAGGTGCATCCGCTCCCCACCTTCACTTTTATATTGCTCTTTTCAAGTTCAGTCTGAAAACGTGTTCTATATGCATGACCACAAAATGCATGTATGATTTAGATGAACACATACCATACTGGGGGTCAATAAAAAATAAAAAGAACCAAAAATAAAAAATAAAAAGAACCTTCAAGTAGTGACTGGCTCTTTAAAAAGTAATAATTTAGTAAATCAAGAAGCCTGACAATTAATTTAAAGATGTAGTGACCATCGTGCATAACAAAAGCTATATGATATAATGGAAATAAGGCTTTAGACCCAGACCCAGGTTAAAAGTATGTGACCTTAGAAGGTCCCCAACTTGGGCAGACTATAAGTGTTGTGCCTTGGTGGTCTCATCTGTAAAGGTAAGTTGAACAATATTTTACCAGGGTGATTTGTGAGGATTACGGGTAATAATAATTTATGTAACCTACAACAGAGGGTCTGGCATTCACTGCGGAGCTATTATGAGAAAATGCAAAATATAGATGGTGTGCATAGAAAAGGCCAGGATGTTCAAGGTTCGAGGTTTTTGGAGTTTTCGCTGATCCTGCCAAGCAGGCAAGACCAGGAGAAACTCTAGCCATCAGCTCGGGCTCAGACCGGGTTATTTTACTGTGTGTTTTATCCGAGTGCGGGCAGACCGGAAACAGTGTGGTGCCCAACAAGCCTGTTGCTGCCACCCTCAGTCTGCTGAGAGCCTCCAAAGCTAGAGGTGGGACTGCCCCAGAGGCGGTCCTTAATGCCCCGCCTCTTCTCCTGGGGGAACTTGTGGTCGCGTCTGTGGGCCTGGAAGAAAAGGGAAGGGGAAGGGGGATGGGAAGGGTCACTGTTTCCTCCTTTACAATCTGGCACAGTCAATTTGACTTCCTTCTTTGATTTTCCCAGAACATCTAGGATGAGACACAAATTCAAATAATATTCAAACTGAGGGAAATGAGCTGCAGAGACAAGCTCAGCGAGTATATACAACACCATCAGGGGGCTCATACAGTATGACTTACCTGTAGCCATCATCTCTTATTTCCTAAATGCCAATCTCCTGCCAGTTTCTGTGAGTACCAGGGAAACCAGGTTGTGATCTTATTCTGGAGCCCTCAAGCTAAAAGCAGAGGGAGTCATGCTAATATGTGCACTATAATGCAGTAAGTATCTGAAAAAGAAAGGAAGAAAGAAAAGCAAAACTCTGCAGGAGCCCGCAGCCCCAGCATACCTCCTAGCATAAGGCTATTTCTACTTGTCCCTCGGGACCACCTAAGCCACCTCTTCTCCCTACCCAGACAATGCTGAGGAGACGAGGGTGTTTCCTCCATTTCCTACCATGGTTCTGCACCCAGCTCTCCTCTCCCTGCCAGAGGATCTGCCCTTCTTTTGTGACTCCCAACAACAACCCTTGACACCATCCAGCAAGAGCTGAAACAGGGCCCTTTGGTCTCCAGGCCCCTGACACTGCAAGGAGAAGAGAAAGAACAACTTTTATTATTTTACTCCAATTCTTGCCAAAGCTGATGTGGGGCCTTTGGGCTTTTCTAACTTGCATGAAAAACTGAAAAACTGGCAATGGGTGTGTCCCTTGGACTGCACGAACAGTGCCATAAAAAAAAGTGTTCCTGATTCATCAAGGGCAAGAATAGGTTTTGGTAGCTTGTCAAACCGGGGAGAAGAAGGAACAGTGTTGTCAGTGACCCTTTCTCACCTCCACAGTCTTGCTAGAGGAGACGGAGATGGAGATGGAGATGACGGCCCAGATGCGTTTAGTCCAGAGTTCTCGGGTTCACCTCCATTCTCCCTGTGGACAAGGAGGGACGGACGGTGACATCCGTTCCCAAGCGCTCCAGGAGAGGCTCCTGTACAGTGTGCGGGTCCAGGCTTGGCCGTGTGTCTCTTGGCTTGGCCTCGTGTGGCTGTAGTGTCCAGCACAGAGTGGGTTTCTGGGAGTGGGTGCTTGCCTTTTTTTAGGACAAGCTGTAACAGAGAAACAGTAGGAGCCTGGCTTCATGGCCCCAATGGCAGGAAGCCTCCATTTTCTCTACTCACACAGACACTTCTGACACCAAATACATGGGGGAAACAATACAGCCTCCAACTCTCGGGACATTGACTGCGAGTCCTGCGGCTCAATGCAGACACTGCCTGCCTGCGAGGGCTCAGTCCCATGAGACTGTGCGCCACTTCAGGCCTCAGTTGGGAGCCCCTGGTGACCCACTCTTCTGTTCTTGGCTACAAAGCAGGGCCCACGAGCTTCTCCTTTGGTTCAATAATTCGCTGTGATGGAACCCAGGGAAAGAAAGCTTGTTATCTTGGCTTGGCCTCTCCGGTGACAGTACCCATCCTGAAACTATCCATCAAGAATGGCCTCATTAGAACAAAGGATGCTCTTATCACCCAGGAAATCACAAGGCTTTTAGAAACTATGTGTCAGGAACTGGGGTCAAAGACCAAATATTAGGACAGAACATACTCCTGGCATCCGTATCAGTCAGGAAACTGAGGGTTTTAGGAGCTCTGGGCCAGGAACGAGGGGCAGAGACCAAGGATGTGTTTCTGAGTGTGTCACACCACTCACACCACCGATGACCTTGGAGGATCCCTGGAATACAACTGGTGGGAAAAATACATTTCAAATACTTCCAAAGGATGATCGTTCACTCCCAGAGCTAACTGCAGAATTTAAACAACACCGGCACAAGAAAACCAGTGGATTTTCTTTCTTGTGTTACCTCTGTACTTAAGTTGTAGCAAACCCTTGGTTTTATTTTCTTTGAAATTATACAGGGACGCAGGAACAAGCAGCTTACAGACAATAAAGAAACCACTTCATGTGTAATTACAGCTCACAAACACACAACTTCCAGATGGCTGGAGTGCACAGCAGGACTGAAGGCTGCCAGGTGCACCGACAGGCATGTGGGTCCAGCCCCAAAGCATCCTTGGGTGGTGTTCGTGCTCCTTCCAGTCATTCGCAGCAGAGTGGGCGGATGTGGCCAGATTCCCTCAGAAACACCTCTATCTTGCCTGCCACAAGGAGTAAGACAGAGCCAGGGTCCATTTCTACCCCTGCTGTGGTTTAAACATGGTTTGTTTCTCCTCTCTGAAATGCAGGTTGGGATTTAACCCCCACTGTGAGGAATTAGAGAGTAGAAACCTAATCTGACCTTGGTCAGAGGTGGGCTTTGGAAGGTGATTAGGGTTGGGTAAGGTCATCATGCATAAAGATGCTGGTGGCTTTCTAAGAAGAGGGAGGGAGGGCGAGGAGACACAGCACACGCCCTGTCTCTCAGGGCCCCGTGATGCCCTGAGCACCCTCGAGACAGGCAGCAAGAAAGCCACCACCGGAGACAGTGACCTTGGAGTAGGAACATGAGCTAAAATAAACTTCTTTATAATTTACCCAGTCTGTGTCATTATGGTTTGTTGGGGTTTTTTTGGTACCAGGGATTGAACTTGGGACCTTGCGCTTGTGAGGCAGGCAGTGAAACCACTGAGCTAAATCCCCAGCCCTATGGCATTTTGTTATTAGCAGCAGAAAAGGGACAAAGACAGCCCCTGTTATCACCGGTTCAGGGTATCAAGCTCATTCCTCTACTTCTCCGGGCTTCAGTTTTGTCATCTGTGAAATGGAAATGATGTTATCTCCTGAGGAGCATTATTAGGAGAATTCACTGCAGACATCTAAAAAAAATGCTTAGAACACGGTAAGTACTCAAAAAGTCTGGCTACTGTAATAATTCTAAGGAGCTATTGAGAAACAGGGGCAAAGATTTATGCACAAAATTATTCATTCCAGCATTGTTTAAAATAAAGCTTAAAAAAAACCCCAAAAATGTGGAACATGGAAAAATAAGTAAATTACATTTCACTCAAACAATGGGATATTGTGCTTCCATTAAAAAAAATCTTTACCAAGCTTTTTTAATAATGTGAAAAACATTTTTGAAACAATGCTAACCAAACAAACCAGAATAGAAACTAGGTTGCTTATAATATCTCAAGTTTGCAAAAAGAAAGGAACTGTTTTAAATACTAATATGTGTCTATATCCTTTAGACATAATGCACAACAAATCACTGGCTAATATTGCCCTGGCATGTGCATAAAGGATTGAAGAGAGAGTCTGAAGGAATACATTTGCTCATTCGACATTCATTGAACTCCTGCTGTACATTGTACTCTGCTGGGCAAGAAGGGTAGGTGAGTACCAGGCTTTGTAGAGTTAACGTTCCCTTGAGAAAACTGGGAAAGAGAGCAGGGTGACCTTTGGTGTGCAAGTCCTGAAAGGGTTGTTTGTCTGCATTCTCACCACAGCCCCACTGTTTATCTTCAGTTGGAGGAGAAAGGCCTGGCTGCGCAAAGCCGAGCACAGGGCCAGGCCTCGGGTCACACAGTGGATTGTGGCTAGTCACCATCCACTGTGTCCTTGTGTGGAGGTTTGTGTCAGAGACTATGGATGGTGACTTTGAGGGGCAGAGAGGCCCGCAGAGAAAGCCTTATGTGAACTTTGACTCTAGTTCACATGTGAGGGCATTTCAGGCCATGCAAGGCACAGAGGCATGAACATTCGGTCTCCACTACAATAATTCAGGCCCCAGGCAAGAAAAGTTGGACTTGGCAGTAAGAGTGGAAAAGAAAGGTCAAGGGACAGGGACATTATGAGGAAAAACTAGCATACAGATCTCTAATCTAGTGGGCAGGTGTAATTCCTACCCTGAGGAGGGGAAAACAGATCTGCAGGGAAAATGCTGGCAAAGTTTCAGCCTGAGTTCCCCTCCTACATCTTCACACAGTGGCTCGATGAAGCAGCTGAGTCCATCTCTTCTTTGTAAATCACAATTTCATGTCTTTAACCAACTGAGAGAGAAGCAGGCTTTGAGTTTGTACGGGACAAGCCCACCATTTTGTTGACACATGGCCTCAGTCCATGGGCAGCGGAGGACATTGGTCTCTGGAGCCTGCCACCCTGGCCAAATTGCACAGTAATCCCCCTTACCCACGGTCAACTTTGGTCCGAAAATACTAATATCTGCCTTGATGCTTTCAAGAGAGCACATTCACATAATTTGTATTATAATATACTGTTACAATTGTTCTATTTTATTAGTAGTAATTGTTCATCTCTTACCATGCCTAATTTATAAAAGAAATGCTATCAAATATATGTGTATATAGGAAAAGGAAGTGTATATAGGACTCGGTACTATCCATGGTTTGGGGACATGTTCCCTGTGGTAAGAGCAGACCTCTGTGCTCCACTTGCCCGCTGACACAGAAGTCGGAAGTGAATTGGCATGTGGTCCCCTGTGGTGAATTCCCAGAAGTCTTTGGAAACAAACCATCCCAAGATTAGCCTCACCCAAGCCCTTTCCTAGAACCCCCCACCCCTTTAACTGCAGGTGACAGAAACCTAAATCAAATCTTAGGGAGAATTGATTCTAAGGATATAGGAGGCCTCAAGGAACACAGAGATGGGAATACAGCTGGGCCCCAGCTCAGCTGAGAACCACAGACATGCACACTTGGTGACTCCTTTTCTTGCCCCCAACTTTCTCTGTGGGCCTAACTCAGTCTCCATTGTCTCTGCAGATTGTCTCTGCTGCTCTGGTCCCTGGGGCAAGAAGTGTGGCCCTGGGCAGAGGGTCACCCTGATAATTTACAGAGACTGGGCCCTCTAGGCTTCCATGTCAAATGTATAATAAAGGAAGGCTTGACGAAGCTTTTGTGAATGGGCCAGACCTGACAGCTGCCGGGCGGGACCTCCTTCTGCATGGGAGTAGGCAGTTACTGGAAAAGGATATGTGGACCAGAGCCAAACACTAAGACTGCAGGCACTCTCTTGACTTCTCCACATAGTTTCCCCACTTGCAAAATGGAGAAGGCTTGCAGGTGATTACTGCAATGATTAAAGAAGGTAAAAAGTGTCAATAATACTGACTTCCCTCCAAGCCCCCCAAGGACAGAGCAGAAAACACTAACAGCCAGTGGGATCTCTCCGTGAAGATTGAGGCAGGACACTTCCAGGCCTTCTTTTTAGCTGACAAGTGAATGAGCTGTGGGAATTTGGCATGTGATGAAACTGACTTCTCCATTCAGTACAGAAACCGTGGATTCTTCACTCAAAGGTGTTGGGACAACTCGCTGCCAGCGGAGGGAGGGGAATCCCTAACAGTTTACATCAAATGAAACTCCCAATGGCAAAAAGATATAAATGCAGAGAACAAAACCATGAAAGCCCTTTGGGAAAGTGCTACAGAAAGAACCTTCACAAAAGAACTCTGCAAAGTTTGTTTTGTTCAACCCTTGAACACCATGACCTGAAAGAGTGCTCAGGCCAGAGTCAGAGCTTAGTAAACTTCTGATGGAATGAATTAGTGAGAAAATTTTTTTGGGGGGGGTGTACCGGCGCTTGAACTTGGGTCCTTGCGCTTACGCAGCAGGGCACAAAACCACTGAGCTAAATCCCCAGCCCATGAGAGGATATTTTTAATCACTTCAGGTAGAGGAGCAGCCTTTCTAAGGATGACATAAAACCAAAAAGAGGCCAAAATATAAAATTCAGCTACAAAAAAATTACAAATGACCATATGAGGGAGGCAAGCATACTGGAGGGAAATATTTGTAACTCCTATCACAAACTGCACCTTTCCATAATTGTGTGTGTGTGTGTGTGTGTGCTGAGGCTCAAACAGGGCCTCAAGCATGCCTGGCAGGCACTGTACCAGAGAGCTACATCACAGCTCCCCTCTCTTTAATATTTAAAGAAATCCTAAATATTGATAAGAAAGAAGCCAACAGCACAGTATAGAAATGGGCAAATGATATAAATAAACAGTTCCCAGAAGAAGAAACACAAAGGACTCCGCAACATAGAGAGAGATACTCAACCTCTTTCCTAGTACAGGACAAGCAAATAAAGACTTAGGAGAAACGACTTGTCACGAATCAGATCGGCAGAGGTCCGGAAGTGTGAGAACACACTGCTGTCAATTGTGCATTGCCTGAGAGGGGAGGAAACACACTGAGGGCTTGCAGGCTGGACGATCTCTTCACACAGTGACTGGACAGTACAGTGTACCTTGTGACTCACTTTACCCTGCAGATATTCTAGCACGTGTATGAGGGAGACTATTCCAGGACTGTATTTATTATACTGTTGTTGGTAATAGGAAAACACTGGGAGTGATCGTCAGAAGGCTGGCTCACAGTCAGCACAGCTATGCAAATAACACCTGGTACAGCTCTTCCACGAATGGGGTGACTCACCTGAATATGTGGTGGAAAGATCGCCAAGATGTGTTACCTGAAAATAGCAAGCTGCAGAGGGGTGTATATTTTATGCTATTAACGCTAGCATGTATTATGCTATTGTTTGCATTTTAAAAATCCCTGCATACATAGATGTTTACTTCCTTATTATGGGTAGAATGTCTCTTTCAGGATTCCTGAGAAATGGAAAATAGTGGTTCCCTAACCCATTGATGGCAAACCTTTTAGAGGTTTCAAAAATAACAAACAGCCAGCTGTGGCCCACGTGGCATAAGTTCGTCACCACTGGGTTACCTCCTAGGAGAGGTGTTGGAGACTAGATGTGTACATTTCCATTCTCAACTCTTTGATATACCCTTGAGTTTTGGACCATGAGTATTACCCCTTCAAATAATAAGTTAAGAAAAAAAATGTGCATTTATTTAGCATTCTGCTCCATAATTTACCCACAATTGATTTGATGTAAAAATGATGCTTCAGATTGTTTACCACTTACGCTAATTTACGTTCCTGAAATTAACATTCAGGAAAGACCGCGACAGGAGACTTTGTCTCCTGGCCACCCCAGCAAGGGTCCCCTTTCTGAAGAGAACAGAACTGTGCAAAGCGCTTGGCACATCAAGTAGCTGTTCCACAAATGCGAGTTCTTGTCCTCCGTGGGAACGGCACAGCTCCGGGGAGAGGAGTTGGAGGGAACCCTGAGCTCTCGGCAAGGTCAGGAGGCTGAGGAGTGCTGGGTGTCCCAGGCAGGGCCTTGAAAACATCACCCCATGCAATCCAAGGTCACACGGGGTCTGCACCCGCCCTCCGGCATAATGCAGCAGCTGTCAGGACCTGCTCTGCTGTCCTCCCTGGATTCACCTTCCTGGGCAGCTCCACAGAGTCACCGCCAGCTCTGTGTCGCAGCACACTGAGTTGCCTGATTCTCCTTCTCCACCTTTTAGAGCCCAGTTTTGCTGTTGTTTTGGTACCGGAGATCGATCTTGGGTCCTTGTGCTTGAGCAGCAGGTGGTGAAACCACTGAGCTAAATCCCCAGCCTAGAGCCCAGTTTAAACACTCTCTTCCAAGTAAAGCCTCTAAGAGTCTGGGGGCAGAGTCACACATGTCACATGGGATAGTGATCACTGTCTCTACCCTCCAGATTCCTGGAGGACAAGGACACTTGAGTGACAACCTCACGTGAATGGGGTTCAGCATACAGGACCATCCTTTTCTATGGGTAAATGACTGCCTCAGACATTGTAGGTCACCTTAAGTCCTGGCCTCACAGGCTAAATATCAGTTATGACAACCCAAACGCTCCTCATGCCCACAAATCCCACTCTGAGTGGGACCTCTGGGCGTGTAACACCCCTTGTCCTAACCATGCTGGCGACCTGGCAGATCAGACTTCAGCCCCAGGTCGGGCTGTGGTCTGGGTGTGGAATCCAGTAGTTCCAACAGAACAGAACAGTGTCTTGTTTCGGTGCTGGGGTTGAACCCAGCCTCGTGGACCCAGAGGAGCTGTGCCCGAGCACCAGAATCCCTCCTCGGAGGTGCCAGCGTGAGCCTGGGAGCCCATCTTGGCAGCCCTGCATGAGGCCCGTGGCCAGGGCGGTGGGTGGTGTGGATCAGTGGGCTACGGGGCTCCCCAGATTGGCAGGGGTCACAGCTGGGATCCCTCTTTTAAGAGCTCCACCTCCAAGGCCCAGGGAGGCTGGGGGTGAAGCCCTGACTGCAGCGGGGTTCTCCAAGATAGCTGAAAGGTGGAAGCAACTCAAATGTCCAACCACAGATAAGTGGATAAACAAGACGTGGTGCACACATACATTGAAATACATTCTTCCTTTAATGACCTATCTGTTTAACAAATGTTTGACTTACAGGTAAGGTACTCTGTTTGGACTTTCGACCCTCTTTTATTGGTACACTTTGATGCATCATGTTCATAGAGTGATAATGTCTTTTTTGTACAGTACACCTTGTTTATATAATACTGTAATTTTTGCTGATAGTGCTTTACATGCTGTAGTTATATGTTCTGTTATACATTACAGCACTGCATGTAAGAGTTATGCAAATAAAAGCAAAGTCATCAAGTTGACTTTATTCTATTTTAATGTACATACTATATACCTTTCCTCATTTAGTGACCAATTCATTTAACAACCCAGTCGAAGGACCTTAACTCTGTCATTTTAAACAAGGAGCGTATGTATCAGTCAGTCTTCAAAGGAAGGAAATTGTGATGCATGCTGCAGGGTGCACGGCCTTGATTGTGCTACGTAGGTTAAACCAGTCACTAAGACACAAATGGTATATGATTCAACCTCTGTGAGGTGCCTGGAGTTGTCAAACTCCCAGTGGCAGAAAGGAGAATATTGGCTGCCAGGGGCTGGGGGAGAGGGACTGGGAGTTAGTGTTTCATGGGCACAGAGTTTCAGTTTTGCAAGATGAAAAGGTCCTGGGGATGGGAGGCAGTGAGCATTGCACAATCATGTGGCTGTATATAACGTCGCTGAACTTTGCACATGAAAATGGTGAAGATCATAAAGTGGATGTTGTACGTGTTTTACAGAAATTTTAAGGCCGTGATAGAGAGTCTAAGAATCCAGTTCTGGCTCTGCCGTTTGCCAGGGTGATGGGCCCCAGCCAGGTTAACCTGAGTCTCAGTTTCCCCACCTGTCACCTGAGCGATGACTGCACTCTCCCTCAGCGGCATTGCTAGCTTTGCTGGAGATCAGTGCTTGAGCCTCAGGCACCAGGCCTTGTGGCACATGGTCAAGACTCAGGAGCCTGGGTGATTGTGCTTGCAGATTTCAGGCATCTGCTGCTCAAGGAAGCCACCTTCCCCTCTCAGTCTCTCCCACAGGAGGATTTGGAGCACCTGGCTTATGTTACAGGGCTGCCTTGACAAAGAGCGGCTGAGGGACCAAGATGGTGCACAGTGACCGTCCTGCTCTTACTGTCTGCAGCCGGCATAGCCCACCCCACAGTGAGCCGACCCTGACAGTTCTCCATGAACTTCACTTCGCCCCTCTCCCTGAACCCCAGAGGTACACTCTCCTTAATTTACAACCTCTACCACTCCTACACAGGCTCAAGGAAAGTCGATCATTGTGGAAGGCAATAACAGTTCATTTTCTTTTGTGTGGATTAAACAATAATTTGATTGGAAAGTGCTTCCTGGTGTAGCAATTAAGGACTGGCTGGAAGTAAAGCCAAGGGCACTTAACCCAGCTAGTCATTAACCACCAGGAAATGCTAGACCAGGAGTATATTCAGTGCTGGTACAAACTCTGAAATTGGTGGGAAGAAAAAGAGAAAAAAGAGAGAAAACTGAAGCAATTCCTTTTTAAGCAATGAAAAGTTTAAAAATGGAGCAGTGGGTTGCTATAGACACGATTTCTGGCTCTGGGCATCTCTGGGCGTCTTCAACGCTTGTATTCAGTGACACAACCATTGGACATGGTTTTCAGCAGGGCCAGCTGCGCCTCCCAAGTACCTGTAATGAATATCTGCAGCCCCAGGCTCCCACGGAAATCCTGAAGCCTGCAGTTGTCACTGTAATTTCCTTGGGAAGTGTTTCTAATTACACAGCTCTAGATGCCTGCTCCAGGTCAAGCCTTCTTGTATACAACGCACGAATTGCATAAAACCACAAAACAGCCAGCAGACTCTGGAGTGGTCCAAATTACCATGTACTTGTTTTTAACTCAGTAGTTAAGCATTCGTGGGTGTAAAAGGGCAGCATTTGTATGAGCACAAACAGCATTAAAGGAACAGCCCGTATCTAGTTCTTTATAATTCTCCACAGAGGTCACAACCCATTTCGGCAAGACCGTTCTATAATAATAGAATTTCCAACTCTAATACATGGACTGTTTATTTCAACTGAGTTAGTAGGGGCTTTGTAAAGAGGGATTTAATCATTTTGTTTTATTACCTGGGACCTGCCATTTAGGAAACTTCTTAACAGTTTACTTTCCTGGAGGTGGAAACATTGTTACCTTTGGACTCTTAGTGTAGCAAATGTTCCAAGATGTAAGGGAACATTAACCATCTATCAGAGAAATTCTCAGGTCCAGTTAACTATATATACAGAGGCTACTGTTTAGATGTTAAGTTTTCTTTAGAGTTCAATAAATCATTTTTTTTTTCCTCAAAGAAGGGGCAAAATTGGTTTCTAGAATGGGTTTGGCACACACACACACACACACACACGCCCACGCCTGTGTTTTAGAAGACCGAACTTGTGCAGGATGGATAGGTACTGAGAGTTGGATTGTCTGGACAGGGCCCCGGCTGAGAGTGCGCTGTGACCCCAGCCTGCAGCTGATGCGTAAGGAAGAGGACCTGTCTTGAGGCCATTACACCAAGTGAGATGAGCCAGTCACCAAAAGACAACAGAATGTGATGCTGCTTTGCTGAGGTGCTCTAGGGTTGTGAAGATCAAAGAAACAGAAAGTAGAATGGTGGTTGCCAGGGCTTGGTAGGAGGAGGGAGTGGGGACCGAGTGTTCAGTGGGCTCAGCTTCGGTTTTACAAGATGAGAAGAGCTATGGAGATGGAGGGTGATAGTGGTTGTGCAACATTATGGATGTATTGAATTCCATTGAATTATACACTTAAAATGATTAAGATGGTAAGTTTTATGTTATATGTATTTTACTACAATAAAAAAAATCAAAAGAGGAACCTACCCCAATCCCGCTTCCTAAGGAACTTTCAGCAGGAAGTGGCAGCTACCATGAGAGATGGCATTTGTTCTAGGCAGCCTTCTGCCTAGTGGCTCCTTCTCCTCCTCCTGTTCTCCAGGACGAGTCCAGGACTTATCTGTCTATGCTCCTACAGTACTACTACTGTACATTGTATTTCACCCCATAATAAGGCTCTAAAAACAATCAGTGGCAGATTCTATTGTCCAGAGGTGGCCAAAACAGTGTCTCCCACTGTGTGTGTCCTTCTCTAGTGTGACCTGCACCCCCCTGCCATCAAGAGAAGGCATTGACTATAGTTTGGATCTGGGGTGTCCCCCAAAGGCCCAGATATTAAAGGCTTGCTCCTTAGTTTTGTGCTTTAGAAGGTGGTGGAAAACTTTAAGATGTGGGGGGCCTCATGGGAGGTCATTGTTGCCCTTGAAGGGGATTGTGGGACCACAATATCTTTCTCTCTTCAGCCTTCCACCCATGATGTGAGTGGTTTTGCTATGCACTGCCTCCATGATGTGCTGTCTTGCCACAGACCCAAAAGTAATGGGGCAAACCAACGTGAGCCAAAGTAAACCTTTTATCTCTGTAAGCTGATTAGCTCAGGGATTTGTTATAGCAATGGAAAGCTGACTGTCACAGGGTTTATGTCCATCAATTCATCCCACCCCAGCCTGTCTTGTAGACTCCTGACTCTCAATAGCCAACAGAATGATGTAGAAATGGTGGTGCAAGCCTGTAATCCCAGCACTCTGGGAGGCTGAGACAGGAGGATTACAAATTTGAACACAGCCAGGGAACTTAGCAACTTAGCAAGACCCTGTATCACAATAAAAAATAAAAAAGGCTAGGGATGTAGCTCAGTACAAAGACCCTGGCTTCAATTCCCAGTGCCTCAAATAATAATAATGATAATGATAATAATAATGATAAAATAATAATACTACATTTATTGTTTTTGTTGTTGTTGTTGTTGTTGTTTGGTACCGGGGATTGAACCTGGGTCCTTGCACTTGTGTGGCAGGTGGTGAAACCACTGAGCTAAATTCCTGGCCCTAATAATACATTTAAAATAAAGTCTATTGAACAATAAATTTTTCAAGTGACAGAGGTCTTCTTGATTCATCTTGATTCCCTCATTCTTGCCCTGGTCTCTTCACTGTTCACATGCATTAACTATTTAAGACATGCTGGTGGAATTCACCAAGAAATAGTTTGTTTTGTTTTGGTTTGGTTTTTTTGGTACTGGGGATCGAACTCGGGACCTTTGACTTGCAAGCCAGGTGCTGGAACCACTGAGCTGACTCCCTGACCCAAGAAATAGTTTTGTACCAGTATCTATCTCATCTGTAGGAGTAATCCTAGAACATAGTATGTACTCAATTAAAATGTGTTTTTAATAAGCAATTTACTACTTAACAAATATAGGACACTTAAGGAGAAGTAAGGACACTTAAGAAGTTGGCCCTTGTCATCAGTTACTATTTAATCTTGTAAAACCCTAGGAGAGCTACTGCAAGCCATGAGCATAATTTACCCATAACAGTCTACCAGCAAAGTCAGAACACATAAAGGAGAAAGTTGCTGCTACTGCATAAAAATGAAAAACTCTGCAAATGAAAAAACACTGCAAATAAAATGAAGGCGAACAGAAGCCAGGAGAGATTTGCAAGTATATTAACAAAGGGTCACATTTGAAGAGGTCTTGTAGATCAGTAAAAGAAAGACAAACACACCAAAAGGGGAGGGGGGATAGTCAAAAGAAAAAGAAAAATATTAATGGTAATAAACACATGAAAAAATCTCTCACATTCATTAACAGCCACAGAAATTCATGATCAAACCACATTGAAATAACTTTTTTTTTCAGTGCTGGGTATAGAACCCAACATTTTTCTTTTATCAAACTGGCAAAGAGTTTTTAAAGATAATATGCAATGTTTTCAAAACTGGGGAGGCTGAAAGTTGATGTTCAGAGTTTCATGTCACAAACCTTTCAAATTAGGGCATACTCTGTGACCTGGCATTTCAACATTTCCAAATTTATGCCTGAGAATTTATTGCTCACATCTGCCAAGATTTGCTCACAAAGGCTCCCATGAACTATTGTTTTTAATAGCAGAAAATTGGAATTAATGGGTAATCATTGGGACTTGGTAAAATAAATCATAGCACCACTCTGTAATGCAATAGTATACAGTCACTTCAAGTCTTGATAGAGAATAATATTTAATGCAATGGGGATGTGGTCACATTCTATGATTAATTTTAAAAGATTGGTCTACAAAGCAAATGTATGGCATTTTATTTTTATCATATATGCATATATATTCCATGAACATAAATGTACGTAGAAGAAGCCCAAAATGATTTACACTAAAATTTTATAATTCTGGGTGATTTTATTCTTCCTATCTCCCTTCTGTGTTTTTTAAATGTTCCACACTAGCTTTATTACTTTTCTATTTAAGAAAAAATAC